CCTCCTTTTTTGCTGTTGTTGCTTTTACTGTCTTCTGCTGCAATGAATGTTGCCCTCTGCCATGTGCCACTCTGCCTTGGAGCCAGCCAAGTATGGACTGAAACATCTACAAACTGTAAGCTAAATAAACCTTTCCTTCCTTATGGGCGTCAGGTATTTTGTTTCAGCAATGAGAGAAAAGTAACCAAAACAACAACCTAGTGTAGTAACCAAGTTTTATATATTTTGCTTCTGATTTTCTTTCCTTTTTTTTGTTTTTTTGAGACAAGCGATCACTACTGTATAGTCCAGGCTAGCCTTGAACTTGGGAGGCTGAGGCAGGAGGATTGTCACAAATCAGCTTGGGATACAGAGTGAGTTCAAGGTTAGCCTAAACTACAAAGCTAGACCCTGTCTCAAAAAACAAACGAAACAGAACAAAAGGGACATGTTTGGGACACTGAATAGGCAAGAAAAGCCAGAAGATCTGCAGGAGAAAAAACTGAAAAATGCAAAAATATTAGCATATCAGAGAGAAAAAGTCTGTGTTATGAAATGGAAAGACAAAAAGATGTCATACTGTCAATTATTCATAATACAGAAATGATAGAACTGGAAGGAAGCAACGAAACTAAAAATATTCCAATACTGGTCAATGATTATATAATCCTGTGGGCGGTGTTGACAGAACTGACCAACATCTAACAAGCTACCCTGTAATCAAAAAGCAAGGACAAAATATTGTCACCATTACATTTAGTGGTAGACATTTTACTGAAATTATCTCACCCACAGAATAAAAAGACCAACGTGACTGTGTAAAATGTGTTGGTCAAACACATGCAAAAGCCGAGTGTGGTGGCGCAGGCCTGTAATCCCAGCACTCGGGAGGCTGAGGTAAGAGGATTTGTTGCGAGTTTGAGACCAGCCTGAGCTACACAGTGAGCTCAAGGCCAGCCTGAACTACATAGAGACTCTGCCTCAAAAAAGACAAGCAAACAAAAAAACCAAACCAAACCGAAACAAAACAACAAATACATGCAAAAAGAATTCAGACTGTAGATACTATTTGTCCAGACTGTATTGTTGGATTACGTATTAAATCTTTTAAGATATACCATACACAGAAAAATTATTAAATTTGATAAAATTGTCATTTTTATATTTGCTGTTGTATTACCTTTTTTATATTACCTTATAAAAACAAACAAAACTATGCAATTTTTGGTCATCCTATATTTAAATAAGTTGACTACTAAGTGGTTAATCATAAAAATTGCTATCAGCTGAACATACATAAGTTTTTATCATATCCCTGCCCCATCGTTGCCAGTCAAACTTGTCCAGGGCTCCCCTTCAGTGTGCCTGAATATGTTCACCAGTTTTTCTCCCTTCCAAATTTGGTCTTGCCACTTCTACTTACTGACCAACCATCCTACCCTTAGGTGTCCAATTAAACAAACCTTTTCCAGCTATCCAATAAGATAAACTTTGTCCTCTGATTACCTAATGTTACCCTTAGCTTCTCTTTGGTTGCCTTTCCTTACCAAGACTGTAATCTTCCTGAAGGTGAGAACATCTTACATTTCTCCTTATTCCCGTCAGCATCTATTAGAAAAATGTATTCTACTTTCCTAAAGGCCCTGTGTGTCTTCTACTAGAAACTAGCATCAATGAAGCACCAACATTCATATCCAAATAAAGACCTAGAAAATGGTGGCAGAAGACCTAAAAACCTTTATAGACCTGAGCACTCTACCTCTTGTCTAATACAGTTTCAAGATAAGTTTTATCTCTAAGCCTTACTCAAATGACAAGGTAAGGTAATTGGCATCACAGTTTAAGGTACAATTATTTGACAGGCATGGTGGTACATACCTGTAATCTCAGCACTCAGGAGGCTGAGGCAGAAGGATCGCTGAGAGTTTGAGGCCAGCCTGGGCTATCTAGTGAGCTCAAGGTGAGCCTGAACTACATAGCGAGACCCTGTCTCAAAAACAAAACAAACTAAAACCAAAACCAAAATGAAAGCCAAAGCCACAACAAAAAAATGCAATTATTCTCTGGGCAAAAAATCATGCTTTTCAAAGTGCCTAAGATGTGGCTCTGAGAGGAAAAATATATGATAAGATATATAAAGATGTTTAAGCAGATTTAAGGTATGTTTCTTTTTTTTTTTTTTTTTTTGAGATGGGGTCTCACTACATAGTCCATGCTGCCCTTGAACCTGTGATCCTCCTGACTAGGCCTCCCAATGCTATGATTACAGATGTGTACCATCATACCCAGCTGGTACGTTTCAGCAGAACAAAATAACTGAGCTGAACCAATTTAAAAGGCCTAAGTTCAACATGCAAGATAGCAAGACAGGAACATTAGGATTTGTAGCATTTATTATTGGTCAGTCAATAATAAAGCCAAATCAAATAGGCAACAAATCAAGAGTAGACGCTCCATACTGAAAACCAACAGCAACTAAAAGGTAGTATTGGGTTCAAATCTTAGTTCATAAATTGTATGAAATCATGAAGTCCCTTTACCTCTATGCTTTGGAGTTTTTATTTGTAAATAGCACTGATACTATTTCCCTGGTAGTTTTTGAGAAGATTAGAAATACTAAAGGCCTATGAAAATACAAACTTTGAAGACAGACAGGTCTGGGATAGAACTGACATAGTTTTTCTGAATGTTTATTTTTGTTTTTTGAGACAGCGTCTCACTATGCAGTTCAGGCTGGCCTTGAGCTCACTTTGTAGCCAAGGCTGGCCTCGAACTTGCAAGATCCTCTTGCCTCAGACTCCCTACAGGTGTGCACCACTGCGCCCAACTAGTTTAGTATTTAAGTTTCAGGTTTTTCATCTGTAAAATAGGTACGAAGTCACCTTAGAGCTGTTTTGAGGATAAGTGTTACTTTTCTTTTTGAGACAGGGTCTCACCATGCAGTTCAGGCCAGCCTCGAATTCACAGCGATCCTCCTGCTTCTGTCTTTTGAGTGCTGCCATTACAGGTATGCACCACCATGCCTGGCCTTGTTATATTTTATTTTATTTATTTATTTTTTGTCATTTAGGAGACAGGGTCTCACTATGCAGCTCAGGCTGGCCTTGAGCTCATTTTGTAGCCCAGGCTGGTCTCGAACTCAGAGCGATTCTCTTGCCTCAGCCTCCCAGGTACTGGGATTACAGGCCTGTGCTACCATGCCCGGTACCTGGCCTTGTTACTTTTTAAAAACGGCTATAAGGAGTTAAAAAACATCAACTAAGGTGCTCAATAAATGTCTCTAATAGATACAGGTACATTCCTCACCTTGCATGCTGCCTACTGTGATATATTTAATAAATGTCAACTACTGTAATTATTTTCTATTACAAGAAATTTCAGAACAATGATTACAAACTTTAATTTTATACCCTATTATACTCAATATCTTTCTCTCTCTCTGTCTCTCTGTCTATATATATACATATATAAAAGTCAGGAATAAATGCTGGTTCATAGTAGAAGCAGGATTGAATTTAAAACGCTTCCTTAGAGAAGAAGTTTAGGAACGAAGTAGTAACTGGGAGAGCTGTTACTCTACATCAGGCCTATCAACTATTTATACACTTAAAGTTCTTAAATTACACGCTCATTTGTTGAAACAAGTCATTTATTATTTACTTTTTTGCCAAAGGCAAAGTCATATATAAGTTTAATTCTTTCCCACAATTATCCTTCGTTTTAAGCCTTCTACCTGCAGCTGTCTTGGCTCTAGATCGATTTCACTGGGTTACAGGGAGAGGACTGATCTTATCAGTTCTTCAAAGACATTTCAAAACTGCAAACATTAAAAAACTGTAGCAGCCATTTTATACCACTATTTCATGGGGGGGGGGGGCACTGTACTCTGGTTTCTAGAAACCACCTACCCATCCTCTAGTTGTTCTCACCCCTGCAAAAGGTTATATATAGAGTGAAAAACAAAAAAGCAGGTGGTGGTAATTCAATGTACAAAATAGGAATTCAACAAGTCTCTTACAGTAGAAGGAAGCCAGGTTAAGAGTTTGCTTAACTGGGCAGGGCGATACATATCTGCAATCCTAGCACTCTAGGAAGCTGAGGTAGTAGGATTGCAAGTTTGAGCCCAGCCTGGGCAATCTAGATTCAGTCTTAAAATAAGAAATAAAAAGGGCTAAAGATGTAAGTTCAATGGAAGAGTCCTGATTTCAATCCCCAGTACGGGGAGGGGAGGGAAGGATCTTTATTTTGCCCAATTAAATCTGTTACTATTTAGTTTATTTTTTGTTTTTTTGAGACAGGGTCACACTATGCAGTCTAGGTTGGCCTTGAGCTCACTGTGGAGCTCAGGTTGGCCTGGAACTTGAAGCAGTCCTTCCGCCTTAGCCTCCTGATTACAGATGTGCACCACCACGTCCAGCCTTGCCAAAATAAATTTTTAAAACGGCTCAATTATATATAGCAATTGGGAAGTTAAAAAATACAGAAATGGTATTTATGGGATACAATACATTGTGTTATGTGGAAAAAATTCACATCTAAGACAAAGTACTCATCCAAATTTTAATAATGACCTGAGTACAGAATTTTTCTTTTGTATATAAAAGTCCAAAACTGCCTAATCAGTAATTAGGTCTCCATCGCAAAAGAAATCTATTTTAACATTTAACAGCAATGGACAACTTTGCTATACTACAGGTATCAATAAAGGTAACATACTTCTACTTTTAAAGAGATGTTATATACAAAAATCTGGAACCTTACTCATATAAAAGATGTCCAAGTTATAAATAATTTGTTTTTGGCATATGAATATTTACTAACACCACACCAACATTTAAAATAGTGATACATCCTTTCTATAAAAAAAAAAAACAAAACCAAACCACCTACTTAAAACTTTCACTACTATTATCAATTTAGATTTTTCTTTAAGAAAAAAAAATACATATATATATATATATACACACTCTTGTGAAACAGAACAGCATCATATCTTTATGTCACTCTCTTTACAAACTTACCTTTTCATTTTTTTTGTCTGCCTCTGGTGGTTGCTTTGCTGTTACACTTCGAGGAGTTCGAACAACTTCATCCTCAGCCGCTTCAACAGTCCGTCCATTTGGCTACATGAGCAACAAGAAAGCACCATGTTATCAAGCTGGCTGGCGGATTAAGCCATAGATTTACACTCAGGAAATAACACATGGATGAAATTCTACCCCAATGGGCACTAACAAAGTTGTTTTATATAGCAATATTATCTAAGACTTGATGGACTGATCTAAGTAACAGTGTTTTGTGATATAAATACAATGAACTATAAACAAAACTCTGTACCACAAATTTTCTGATTTCACCCACGTATCAGTTTAAAAGGAAAACAGAATAAAGGTAGGTAAAAGGACATCTACTACCACTACCAACAAGCTATGCAATCTCAGATCATTTCACTATCTCAAGGCTTATTTCTACATCTGTAAGATGATAGGTTTGGGTATTTAAGAGTCAGCAAACTTTTTTTGTAAAGGGCCAGACAGAAAATACTTTAGGCATGCTGGGCCACGTATCTACTGCAACTACGTGACTCTTTCATTAATTATAGTACAAAAACAGCACAAAAGATATACAAATGAATGTTCAATCATTTCTAATGTTGCCTCGAACTCTATAATTTAGTGGCTCTACTACTGTGGGATTAAGAAGTTTTACCAATCATTGCCACAACCTGAAAAGATTATCTTTGCTTTCCTAACATTCTCAAAATGATAGGATTGTGCTTAGAAGCATTCATGGGTAGAATTACGTGACTCCAAAACTCAAGCTTTAAGCATCAGAATCATTCAGTTTTTTAAAAAGTAAACATTTCCAAGCCCTGTCAACAAAATTGTATAGACTGAGGCATCTGAACAGGGCCTAAGTCTTTCAAACAAATTATGAACTCTGAAATCCTCAATTATGCCAACAGTGGTCTGACAGATATCCATATGCAATCTTCTTCTTGAACTCTATTACTTTTCACTTGTGCATTCCTCTCATGTTCAACACAATAAAGTCAAAAAACCATGTATTAGTTTCAAAGTTCTCTACCAGATTGCCTATTCACAGTAAAGCTACAAATAAGAAAACAATCAGTATTCAAAGGTTTTATAACTGACTTAATCTGCATTTGTTAAAAATGATCAGAAAAATGTAGTTGGAAAAAAGAGACCATTTATGTTCTAAAAATCAACTGGTAAGCTTTCCAAAGATCTGTGGCAGAAAATCAAAACAAAGCTGTCTTTTAGCTGATTGAATTCCTAATTAATCAAAATGTAATCTTCTAGGTCTTAAATAGCTTGTCAAAGTCAGAGCAAATGCAAAACCAGGTTTCCCTACTCTTGGTTTTCTTTCTCCTGTGCTGTTTTGCCACTTTACCGTTTGTTGCCTCTGCTACTCTTTGTATGTGTGTGTGTGTGTGTATGTGTGTGTGTGTCTGTGGGGGGTTCGGTGGGAGAGAGCACATGCAGAAAGGTAAGGAACCTCAGGAAGGCAAGTGGACTTAGGGGTAGATACACATCAGGAAAGTAACGATTTTTTTTCCACTTCTAATACTACCATCTTGTCTATTTTCATGCTGTTTCTTCTCCCCTATTCTTTCTCTTATATCTCTCCTATCTGCTCATAAGCAGCTCACAAGGTTTACATCTACAAAATTACACTTCAGGGAACTTTCTATCATGGTCACCAAATGAGAGATAAAAGTCTTTCAAAGCAATATGAACTCTGAAATCCTCAATTATGACAACAGTGGTCTGACAGATTTGGGAACACTCAGTTCTATTTCAGAGGCTAAAAATAGTCCAGACTTGCTCTAGAGACAGTACTGTTATCTTAAAACAACACAAAACAAAACTGGTTCTAGTTTTACTGTTTTCTAAGAAAACTGCATATTCACCATGTATTTATTCATTCACTCAATGCTCAGTAAGCAAACACAGTAGGATGCAGAACTCTTTCGTTTTGTTTTGTTTTTCCGGTACTGGGAATCGAACTCACGACCTCTCACTTGCCAGGCAAGGGCTGTGCCACTGAGCTAAATCCCCAGCCCTAGGATGCAGAACTCTTAAAACCTTGAAATGAATAGAGAAGGCCTAACCTCTACCCTCAAGAAGCTTAGAACCTAGCAAAGGAAGCCAAGTATAAAATAGCAATCCTAAAATATAAGACAAAAGGTATATTCTCTCCTCTCCCTTTCTTTCCTCTCCCCTCCCCCTCTTCTTCTTCTCTCTCTCTCTCTCTCTCTCTCTCTCTCTTTCTTTCTGGTCTTTTTGAGATGGGGTTTCACTATGCAGTTCAGGCTGGCCTCGAACTCACTTTTTAGCCCGGGCTGGCCTCAAACTCGCAGCAATCCTCCTGCCTCAGCCTCCCAAGTGCTGGGATTACAGGCATGAGCCACCACACCTGGCTATTCCCTCTCTTTAAACAGTATGTTTTTTTTTGTACCAGGAATCAAACTCAGGACCTTGTGCTTGCCAGGCAGGCACTGTGCCACTGAACTGTATCTCTGGCCCTAAAACAGTATGAGTTTTGAAGGTAAGTTTAGAGACCAAGATTAAAATCTCAAATGTGTTTTTCTTGGAGAAGTTGACATTTCTCTAGAGTTCCAATCTGCTTAGTTGAAAGTTATATTGAGCACACAGAAGGCATAAGTGTATGTATACTTTATATTTATCACAAAAAGATAAAAGACAAGACATTATGAAAAATCAAAAGCAAGCTGGGTGTGGTGGCACACGCCTGTAATCCCAGCACTCAGGAAGCTGAGGCAGCAGGATCGTTGTGAGTTCGAGACCAGCCTGAGCTACAAAGTGAGCTCAAGGCCAGCCCGACTGCATAGCAAGACCCTGTCTCAAAAAAAAAAGAAAAAAAAAATCAAAAGCAGCAGCATCTTTAGCTGACAGGCTGGACTGTAAGCTGAGCCTAATAATAACTATTAACTTTGGAGTTCGTGCCATGCACACCTGTCAGGTGCTTTACATGCATTACCTAACAAATGGCAAGTCCTACTCTGGGTCAGTTTCTTTGTTGTAGTTGTGAAGAGTTTTGATATAAATCCCACAGAGAACTTCTTGTCATTTTGAAAGCATAGCTGCATTTTTCCCCTGCCAAACGTTGTGCACTTATCAACTACATACACTTTAGCTTCAGATACAGTAATTTACCTACTTATTTTAAAATTCAACCCCAATTAAAAACACTTTGTAATTGAGAGAATAATCTTACAAATAAGATCCATAACCTGTATTTGCAAAATCTGCATATATATTGAGATATTTCACTTTGTGGTGAAGATCCTTGTGCTTTCTAAACAACTAGCCAAATGTTTTCTTTTTATTAAAAACAAACAGAATAGAAAAAAAGAAACATGTGTAAGAGTCCTGAGACAAAACAGAAAGGACTGTCTGTCTCAAATATTATGATCAGGAAAGGATTTTCTGGGATGGCGTTTTTTTCTTTTTTTTTTTTTTCCTGAGACAGAGCCTCCCTATGTAGTTCAAGCTAGCTTCAAACTTGTTGTAAAGACCTGCATCAGCATCCTGAGTGCTGGGATTACAGGTGTGGGCCACCACATCTGGACCTCGGGGATGCTTTTTAAGGTGAGATTCAAAGACTGATAAGGAGAGAGGGAAAGGCAGAGAGATTGAGGAATAGAGAAACAGGGGGAAGTGGGAAGAGAGAAAGAGACGGTGAGAGGGAGAGAAACTGTTAATTCTGGCTCATGTAAAGGCAGTGGATTATGAAGAAAGAACAGTGTAATTCTTTTTTTTGGCTTTTTTTCTGGTACCGGGAATTGAACTCATGACCTTGCGCTTGCCAGGCAGATGCTGAGCCGCTGAGCTAAATCCCCAGCCCCAAGAACAGAGTAATTCTAAGCAGCAAATGAGAACCAATCAGCTTAGAAAAAAAGCAGGTGCTGGCCTAGAAAGGCCTCAGATTTTGAATGCAAAAGCTACTGAAAAGTTCATTTTAGGCAAGAAAGAGGACTGGAGGTAGTCAAGGGAATGCAACTGCTAGAGCCTGTGAGCTAAGGTGACAGGCATAAGAGGGGGAAATCAGACTGAACATGTATTTGGGGGCAAAGCTGATTATACTTTGCTGATAGATTAGATAGGAGGTAAGAAAGCTATAAGGTGAGAAAAGTGTTAAAATCAAGGATAAATTCTTAAACACTTATAGTTTAATTAACAAATGGATGGTAATTGGCCCTTTACAAAAATGGGGGCCAGGCATGCTGGCACACGCCTGGAATCCCAGTACTTGGGAGGATCACTGTGAGTTCGAGGCCAGTTCCGGCTACACAGTGAGTTCAAGGCCAGACTGAACTACAATGTGAGACCCTGTCTCAAAGTGTAGACTTACACATGACGTTCTGGAGATGAGAACAGCCCAAATACAGATATGCAGAGACAAATATACACGCGATCCTCAATATCTACTGATTTTGTGTTGATGATTTCTGCCTCACTAAAATCTGTAACCACAAAATCAGTGCTCGAGAGCTTTGCAACCATGAGGAAATGTACAGAGCTGCAAAAAAATTGAGTTGCCCTGTAGTTCTGTAGCATGTAACATGAGGTTAAGGCAATACTCTGCCTTATTTCATCTTTTTCATAATTGTAAAGAAGTGTTCTTTGTAAGGCCTATGTAGAGCCACATATTTTCCATTTTTGTTCTTTTCACTTGTAATTTCACTGTTTAAAACAGCCCTCAACCATAGTACTAAGGTGTTGTCTTGTGTTCCTATGTGATCTGCAAGAAGGCTGCAATGATCCTTAGTGAGAAAATATACATATTAGAAAAGCTTTGTTCAGGTATGAATTCTGGTATATTGGCCATTTCAATGTTCATTAATCAACTACATTAAAGAAGGTGTCTTTAAACAGAAACATATACAAAACAAGCCTATGTAGATGATTAGTAAAAATACTGTGACCAGAGGCTTGTAGGAATCCACATACCTTTTCCCTAGGAACTCTAATCCGCACGCACTAATTTAGTGGCTGCGCAGAATTTACACAACTGCTGGAAATAATAAGAACCAACTATATCAATATGTTTATAAAGTCCCCCCATGTGTGTAAAT